CTGCGCAGCAGGCTCCTGGGAAATGTAGTCTGTCGCCAACGCTACCCTCTGCCAGGAAACCGGCGGCACGGGTAGAGCCATTTTCCCAGTTATCTACACTAAAAACATCGTTAACGAGACCTCGGGGTGATGAGAACACGTGTGGGGTCTGTTTGCTGCCTGGGCCGCCGTCATTGGCAGCAACGCTGCCCTGCGCCAAGCGGCTGCGCGGGCGCCCAAGAGGGATGAATTCATCCAGATCTGGTTTAACGAAAGCTGCGTCAGCGACAGCTACGCGCCGAGCTGGAGAGCTAGCGTGCTCGCGCTTCCTGATCGCAGCGATTCAGACAAATGCAGGGATCACTGCAAGCAAAATATTCAGCTGAAGAGCGATGAATTTGTCTAGTCAGTCACCAGTAACCAGTTTTAAACTGGATCCTTCTTTGGGTTAGAATTTGTTAGAATTCGCGCAGTAATGGGACAAAATGCAGAGAGTCCAGCGGAGGGCTACGAGGATGATGAGGGGACTGGAGCATCTGTCCTATGAGGAAAGGCTGAGGGAGCTGGGCTTGTTCAGCCTGAAGAAGAGAAGGCTGCGAGGGGACATTAGAAATGTTTATGAATATTTCAAGGGTGGGAGTCAGGAGGATGGGGCCAAACTCTTTTCAGTGGTGCCCAGCGACAGGACAAGGAGCAACGGGCACAAACTGAAGCAGAGGAGGTTCTGTCTGAACATGAGGAAGAACTTCTTCCCTCTGAGGGTGACGGAGCCCTGGAACAGGCTGCCCAGGGAGGTCGTGGAGTTTCCTTCTCTGGAGATATTCAAGACCCACCTGGACAAGGCCCTGTGCAGCCTGCTGTAGGTGACCCTGCTTCGGCAGGAGGGTTGGACTAGATGACCCACAGAGGTGCCTTCCAACCCCTACCATTCTGTGATTCTGTGATACTGTAATTCTGTAAAATACATAAAATACTTAAAGCTGGTGACTGGATAAGACCTCTGGGTTAGCACTACTGAAATATTACAAAAATATACATGAAGACAAGTTCAAGCAAGTCCAGGTCTATCTCTTACTCAGACATCAGCATGGTTTTATTTTGATCAGATTTGGGAGCGCAGATATGAAGAGAATGGGATGGAACTAAGTAGGGTTCGGGAGGAAGGTCATGGGGAAATAGTTCTGGGGACAGAACCAGAGGGCTAATACTGATTAAAAAGGAAATGCATATGTGAAGGTGGTATTTGAGTAAAGGGAGGAGTGTAAGAGGTGATGTACAGGTGGATGCTTGTCTGTGGAACAAACAGATGAAGAGCTGGAAAGGCTGAGCAGGGATTTTTAAACCAAGGAATCTGGGCCTGAGGATCAGGTCCTGGGACTGAGCAGAAGAAGAGATTTGGACAAAGAGCCAGACCAAAAAGAAGACAAAATCACAAAAACAAAAACA